TACATTTTTATTTTTTTAAATGTCATCTGCAGCAATATTTAAATAAATTAGGAGAATGAAAAGATTGAGGCCAGGCACAGTGGCTTACTCCTGGAATCTCAGCACTTTGGGAGGCCAAGGCAGCCAGATCACTTGAGGCCACAAGTTCAAGACCAGTCTGGCCAACATGGCAAAACCTAAAAATACAAAAATTAGCTGGGTGTGGTGGTGCACGCCTGTAATCCCAGCTACTTGGGAGACTGAGAATCACTTGAACTTGGGAGGTGGAGGTTGCAGTGATCCAAGATCACACCACTGCACTTCACCCTGGGCAACAGAGCAAGACTGTCTCAAGAAAAGAAAAAAAAAAAGAAAAGATTAAAAATCCAGCCAAAAATTCTGCTCCACGAGCACAGGTGCTTGGTTTATTACCAAGCTTCCAGGTTCTAGAACATAGTTGGCTATCAATAAGTGTGTGTTGATTAAATATATGATGCCTAATTAAGGGCAGGGGGACATCTAGTTAGAAATGTGTAGGAAATAAAGTCCAGAATAGGACTCAGAGTAAAAGTTAGCAATTGGTATTAACAAGGATTTGGGAGTTGTTGACAACTAATTGAGTCCTTGAGAAATATGTAAGACTATAGAGGCAACAGGGTAAACAGGCTAAGGGTAGAATCTCCATAACTCCTATGGTTATGGCAAATGTCAAGGAGAAAGCACTGAGAGAACATAGCAAGGAGAGATCAGAAAGGTGGCTCAGGAGATCTGTTGGCCCAGAAGCCAAAGGAGCAGAAAGGAGAATTACCCATTTGTGCATGTCCAGCTTATAAGTATTGATTTTGTATTTTGAAATTGAATCTTTTTTTTAAGCAGACTAACTTTGAAGGTTTCATGGATTCTAGTTATCCTAGGGGTAAAAATGATTTTAACAGGTAGGTAAGACTTCATGTTGAAAGGATCAGGGTTGAATGGGGCAGGTAAAATCCAAGCATATCCCAGAAGCATGTTAAATGTGGGGAAATTTCAAGATAGCATTCACATATTTTGGAATTTAACATGTAATTCCTTTAGACTTCTCCTTGCTACATCATGGAGTTAAATATATAAATTTTAGGACGTTATATGTAGTAGTTAAGCAACAGAATAATTATGTCATAAAAGTTGTTTACTTTATGAATTCATTTAGTGTAATGTCTCTATTAGTGGCCTACCCTAGGATATTTTAAGTAATTATATTGTTTTATTTCTAGACAATTTTTGTGAAACTTATTTTGCCTAAGGCAGGCACACAGTTCAGTTAAAATAAAAAAAGACATAAGCTCCAAAATGGGCATTGGTTTCTTACTACTTTATGGCTTTAAAAATCATTCTGAATCATCTTGCTGGAGTGTTTACTACACCAGCTAGCAGTAGGACTTAACGTTAAATTTTCATTTTGATTAACTTGACTGCAGTTGTTTCTTGGCTACCTCTTTAGAGCCCACTGTGGAATAAAATTAAAACAGTTTTTATGATACAACAATTTAGTTGCAGAAAATGACATTTTTCTTTTTTCCTGAGTGGCAGTGTGTTCTACCTCTGGATTTTCTGCATATGCCCCATGGCTCTGGTTTCTTTCTTCTCCTATCCATCTTTTAGAGTACTGCCAGATTGATTTTTCTTTTTTTTTAATTTTTTATTTTATTTTTTTACTTTTTTTTCATTGCATTTTAGGTTTGGGGGTACATGTGAAGAACATGCAAGATGTTGCATAGGTACACACGTGGCAGTGTGATTTGCTGCCTTCCTCCCCTTCACCCATATCTGGCATTTCTCCCCCAACTCCCCCCGCCCCCGCTCTCCCTCCAAAGCAGAGCTTTGTCGGTCTTCTCATCCAAAACCCTTCAGTGATTCCCCATAGCCTCTCTCTTATCTAAGCCCAACTCATTCTTCAAAGAAAGAGCAACCCACATTTGGTATTTGCCCTTCCATGTTTTTCTTGATCTCCTCTGCTGAAATCCCAATCTCTGCTTTAGATTTCTTATTCCTCTTGCATAGCACTCATCATGGCCTGTCTTACGTGAAATTACATATGAACCCATCCCACCCTCAAGAATGACTTCTTGAATGTAGAAACCAAGTCTTCCTTGTATTTTTGCCCACTCCCTCGTTGCCTTATGCATAAAAGATAAAACATATTTGTTTAAGCCAGGCGCAATGGCTCATGCCTGTAATCCCAGCACTTTGGGAGGCCAGGGCAGACAGATCACAAGGTCAGGAGATAGAGACCATCCTGAAACCCTGTCTCTACTAAAAATACAGAAAATTAGCTGAAAGTGGGAGCACATGCCTGTAATCCCAGCTACTCGGGAGGCTGAGGCAGGAGAATCACTTGAATCTGGGAGTCGGAGGTTGCAGTGAGCTGAGATCTCGCCATTGCACTCCAGCCTGGGTGACAGAGTGAGACTGTCTCAAAAAAAAAAAAAAGTTTCATAATGAATGTTTGTTGGAATAGTTAAATATGTGAAATGTCCCCTGTTCTGTATAATCCTGATCCTCTGACCCATTACTTCCCCCCTCCCACAGCATCTCTCACCTTCGAATTCACTTGTAATTTAATTACTTATTTTTGTTGTTGGCATTGGCTGTCTTCTCCCTGTTGAATAGTAAATGCCCTAGGGCAGCGATCTTGGGTTTGTTCAGTAGTGTGTGCCTAGTGCTCAGAACAGTGCTTGTTATATTGGTTGAGTGAATGAATGAAACTTGAAGCTAAAGGTCAGTTTCTCCCTGTTCTTTGGATTATGTCAGTGGTTTTCAAGGTAAAGGACGTTGTGGCATTGGAAGAGCAGGAGAGAGATGGAGAGAGACCCCAAAGCAAGCTCCTGCCACTTACTAAGTAAGCTGTGCAGCTTTGGGCAAGTTTCTCGACTCTTCTGAAGGTCATTTTCTAATTTGTTGAAGGTTAATATAACAAATTACAATATTTATGTAAGGATTACATTTTAGGGGGGAAAAAGCATACCATGTAACCATGTAATCAGTAGCTTATGTGTCCTGATCACCTGGTGCCACACACTTTCCATTCCCTGTCTCTGTGCATCTCCACATCCACTCTGTGCAGCAGGGCCTGTTATATTAATAACTGTCTCACAGGTGAAGAGGAGGTTCCTGCCCAAGATCACACACACAGTGGTGGGTAGTGAACATCGCCTGAGACCAGGTCTGTGGGACCCTAAACTTGGTGCTTGGAACTCCTGCCTACTGTGCATTTGCTCATCAGGGGGCTACATGATTTCTCCTTTGGAGCAGTAGTTCTACATTTTTCCTTCCTGCCCTAAAGTGGTTGAGGGATACAAAGGGCTCATGAATACCACTGGCTTCCAGGCAGTGTCTTTCTGAAAAAGCCAGGCCATATCCTCTCAAGAAGTGATGGGCAGCAGAGTCTGGTTTGAAAAATACCCCCGATGAATTGGATTATCTCCTCCTGCTAATGTACCACCACTTCCAGATCTGTTTCTTTTCTCTCCATGTCCGTTTATAAAGTTTTTAACTCTTTGTATATTGTGCTATGCGAAGTGTATAGCACCATGTCTAGCAGGTGTAGCAGGTATTTTGTACTATTCATGCATTAAGACTGTTTTAATCTTTTTGTTTTATTATTTTTTGAGACAGGGTGTCACTTTATTACCCAGGCTGGGGTGCAGTGTCACAATCTCAGCTCACTGTAGCCTCCACCTCCTAGGCTCAAGCAATCCTCCTACCTTAGCTTCCTGAGTAGCTGGGACTACAGATTATGTGCCACCACACCTGGCTAATTTTTCTTTTTTTTTAAGAGATGGGATTTGGCCATGTTGTCCAGGCATATCTCAAACTCCTGGGCTCAAGCAGTCCTCCTACCTGGGCCTCCCAAAGTGTTGGGATTACAGGCATGAGCTACCATGCTAGGCCAACACTGTTTTAAAGATTGTGTTGTTTTGGAAACAAATTAGTTAGTTTAGGTTGGGATAGCCAAGTTGATCATTATAGTCTCCTCTGTTTATTGAAAAAGTACTGAAACTTTTAAAAATTTTCGAGAGATCTACAAATGCCTTTTCAAAACACACAGTTAAATCACTAATAACTTAATTATTGTAATATAGTAAGTGTCAAAATAAGGAAGGCTGTTTTCTGTATAAACAATTAGCCTTTTCAGGTATTTTCATTGAGCACTTAAAATTGCTAAACTAGGATTAATGGGATGGATTATTTCACATCTAGGAAAACATCTTTTAACTTACAGGGAATGGATTTCTCTTTTGAAATAGTTTGTCATCAGTTCTAATGCTAAAAAGGTACTTCAGAAAATATTAAAATGAAAAGATATTTCATTCATATGCTATAAATCATTATTTTTAATTGATTGGGAAGTTTGGTAGGAGGCCAGAGAAAATTGGCAAACATAAAATTTAAGAGGAAGTGTGAGCATTTAATTCCAAGTACTCTTTCAACAGAGATGTTTATTATTTATTTTTGTAGCTTTATTGTAGTGATTAAAGCATAAGTTTTGCAATCCATCTACCTAGCTTTGAATCCTCGCTTTTCAGTTTATTAAATCTGTGAGCTTAGACATGTTATTTCATATTTCAAACTTTGATTTTTCTCACCTGTAAAGAAGGACCATTACCTTTTATCTACCTCCTAAAGTTATCTTATTACGTGAAATAGTATATGCAAAACATCTAAACAGTGCTAAACATATCCTAGGCACTTAATAACTGTTTTATTATCATTAAAATATAATCCTTTAGGCATAATGTGATATTTGAATATCTATTTGCAAATGAGTGGGAGACATTTTATGGACTTCTGTGTACAGTTGTCAACTTGGTATGGAATCCCCTTTATTAAAAAAAAACAATTCAGAAGTAAACTTTATCTCATCTTGGGATAAACTATCAACTTCTGCATTAGTTAGCTTTTAACTAATGAAACTTTATTACCAAGTATGGAGTAAGCAGATTATGAATTCTAAGTTTCTCATATAAAATTGTATTTCCTAGGAGAGTGCATAGAAGGGCTGCGGGAAAATGACTACCTGCTGATTCATTCCTGCCGCCAGTGGACCACCATCACTGCCCACAGCTTGGAGGAGGGTCACTATGTCATTGGGCCAAAGATAGAGATTCCAGTACATTATGCAGGTAAGACTCCTTGAAGGGCCAGGACAAGGCAGAGAGAGAAAGGGGATGTGAATAGCTGAATTTTTTCTCTAAGAATTGTCTGTAAACTAGAAAGTAGAATGATTTCGAGAATTCAACATTTGTGTGTGGTTATCAATCAGTGAAAGCTCAGGTTCATTTTGTCACAAGTATTTCTAATTAATATATGTAGTTAAGTGGGGATTCTTATTAGGTATTTATAAGATAGAAATTTTACAAATAAAGCACCTCTATTGTCTTGGAATTAAAATTAATACTGTAGCCAATCTCAGAGCTTCAGGGGGCCATGTCTCTGAATAACCCTGTATACAACTTGAATATTGCTTTTATGAATGACTTTGTGAAGAATTCATAAGATGCCTTGTCACAAATTAGATTGTGGTCAGATTTAAAAGTATTAGATTGGAAGTTCATATACCTGGGGCTGGACTGTCCCTCTTTTCAAGTAGGCATTTAGATTACAGGCAACTGAGATGACCTCACTAATTTAGTTAAATGAGGGTAATACCTGCCTTCTCACCACACTTTGAACTCAACTCAGTGCAGCAGGCTGTTTAACTGATTTTTATTGAGTATATTCTGTGTGCCAGTACTGTTTTAGGAGCTTGGGATACATCCATTGTCTTAAAGAAACTTTAAATAGTGATAGCTTATAAATGTAATTAAAAGAAAACTTATGTTACCATATGCTTTTTCTGGTGCTTATAGTACATTATATAAAAGATCTTAGCCTTTTCTCTATTATTGTTCAATATTTTCCAAGTTTGTACAGGATGCCTTAAACACCTAACCTTAAATTTTGTAGCCCTAGACTGCCATTGTGTTCTGTAACTCCTTTATAATGACCAGAGAGTTATTATTTGGAAAAGGGACCTTGCTGTATTCCCACTGTCTAGACATAGCAAACAGTATCTGTTTGATGAATATTTAATGAATGAATGAATCGTTTGGTTTCGTTTTTTATTCCTGGGAGTCTTCAATTGCCGATGTGACCCAGGGATTACTTAGCTTCTCAGAAATCCTTACTCAAAAAAATTATAAGAAAAAAAGAATTTCTCTGGCCTAAAACTTTGTCCTCTAGAATTGCATTTCCTAACCCTAAGAGTAGCTTTCATGGCAAAAGAGAGAAATGTATAGCTGTAGAAAGCATTACATCTTTTAGATTGTAACTCAGGCAAATAAAGCAATTTTCATAGGGGCAGAGAATGAAACAAACCCCCTACTCCACCCATTCTCTCATCAGAGTGGTTCCTACTACTGGTGACATCTGTGCTATTTTTAGCAAGTCCAAATTCTGGTTTCTTTGTGGAAAACTAAAAAGAAAGGTAAATTGCTACATTGCTTCATCCTCTATACTTTTACCTAATCTGCTGTATTCTTCTGTGAGGAAATTACATTGTAGTCTTTCCCCCAAAATCATTGTGAAAAGCTCTGTCAAATCAGTCTTCCCAAAAGAATACCCTCATTTTATCACCTCCTAAAACCCCTTTAGACACTGCATCCTACCTCTAGAACCTTTGACTTGTTGTTGAATGCCTTCCAGAGGCTGGTTCTAGTCTACTCCAAACTGATCTTTTCTACTCCGAAGAGTGAACCTCCCACACTAGCTACGTTAGTCATCTCACTGTTTCCTGAACATACTAGACACTTTTCCATTTACACAGTCTCTGGCTGGCTGGAGTTGCCTCCCGCAGCTCATCAGTGCATCAGGAGGATGCAGCTATCCTCTGCAGCCCCACGTGGTCTCCTGATGTGTCCCGTTCATTTAGCACACAGTCTTCAGTCAAGTAGCTTTTCCTGTGTACACACGCACTGGTTGGACTATACAGTCCTTAACAAGTTGTATCAATTCTTAAAAACATCCTGAGGGCTTTGGATCTGTACTCAAAAGATAATTCTTTGTGGCCCTGGATGTTTGACTCAGGGATCTGGAACTTGGTTATATACTGGATTCACCTGGGGATCTTTAAAAAGACTGATGCAGGGGTCCTACCTCCGGAAGTTGATTGGTCTGGAGTGTTGGCTGGATATAAGAATTTTAAAAGCTCCCTTGTGGTTAAAATACATAGCATTGTTGGGAACCCATTGTTTTAGAATGAGTATCCACAATGTGAGATGCTAAGATTTCCCCAAATACACACAAATATTTGTAAATATTCTGGTGTTTGGAACTTCTTTTTGAAACAGCCATCCAGCTTCCCTTGAGAAGAAAAATATGATCTTGTTTAGCAGCTTACTTTAGATCCATAGGGAAGATGATGGATTATGTTGCAAATGATACATTTTTAAAAAATGAAATTGAGGTGCCAATACTCAGAGGAAACATGGGCACTAAGACCACGTCATTCAATAGAAGGGAGAGAACATATATTAAAGAAAGAAAAACTTGAAATAGGACAAATAGGACCAAATAGTTCATGAGATCTTTTGCCATTAAACAAAATAGAATGAATGGTTGGTCATGAATGTCTAAATGTTCTAAGCTGTCTTCCTGAATTTCTTCAACAAGAAGTTTAGGTAGAAGTTTTAAGATACAAATATATTCTAGTTGATCATTTTGTTTTGGGTTTTATCTCGTAAGATAGCACCAAGAAACTTGCTTTACAAAGTTTATAAAGACAAATTTAGCAATTTAGTAGATTAAAAAAAAATCTTATAAACAGATAAATAAGGCTGTGTGGTTTTATAAGTGTTGTTTATTTGTTTGTTTTGTAATATGTTTTCTTTTTTTTTTTTTTTTTTTTTGAGATGGAGTTTCACTCTTGTTACCCAGGCTGGAGTGCAATGGCACGATCCTCGGCTCACCGCAACCTCCACCTCCTGGTTTCAGCTTCCTGAGTAGCTGGGACTACAGGCACACACCACCATGCCCAGCTAATTTTTTTGTATTTTTAGTAGAGACAGGGTTTCACCATGTTGACCAGGATGGTCTCAATCTCTTGACCTCGTGATCCACCCACCTCAGCCTCCCAAAGTACTGGGATTATAGGCATGAGCCACCGCACCCGGCCTTGGAATAAGTTTTCACTCTGTCACCCAGGCCAGAGTGGTATAGTGGTGTGATCATGGCTCACTGCAGCCCTGAACTGCTGGGCTCAAGGGATCTTCCCACCTCGGCCTCTTGAGTAGCTGGCACTATAGGCTTGCAACACCATGCCCAGCCAACTTTTAAATATTTTTGTAGAGACCGGTTCTCGCTTTGTTGCCTGGGTTGGTCTCAAACTCCAGGTCTCAAGCAATCCACCTGCCTTGGCCTTTCAAAATGTTGGGATTACAGGTAGGAGCCATCATACCTGGCCTAGGAGTATGTTTGATTACAGTATAAAATGGAGACCCATGAGTCTTGATATGATTGATCATTTCAAGGTTATGGTAGATATATTTTGTCTCTAAAAATCTATTTATTACCAGCTTCGGCTCTTGGAAGAAAGAGAGCATATAGTAAATTGTGCAGACCCAAAATCATTTATGTCTCCTTTATTCTACCAATTTTTCAGAATTTCATCTAGGTTGAGATGAATCTCACATTTTTTGAGGACAATTAATAAATAGTTACCAGAGTTGTAAAGCCCACCAGCTTTGTAATCAAAGGACCTAGTTTGATTTCTCATTCTGCCATTTTCTGTCTGTATTACTTTGGGCAAGTTGCTAAACCTCTTTAAATCTTTGTTTCCTCGTGTATAAAGTGAAGATAATTATAGTACCTTTGTCTTAGGGTAATTGTGAAGATTGAAAGAGAAACACCTTTCAGAGTGTTTATTACTTAGTAAGCCTTCATAAATGTTCATGGTGATAATTATGATCATATTAGCAACTAAATGTTTCTAAGGATTTAACTTTCTCCTGCACTACTAATTACAAGCTGAATTACTTTTCTCTTCATGCAAGCTAGTTGAATACTGACATCCCTCAACATTATTTGGGCTGCTGTTTTTTGGTTTGCTTTTGTAATTTTATTTTGAAGTTGCAGTAGTATAGTTTACTCCCTTATGCCATTTCCCATTTTACCCATTTTTAGCATCATTTTGCCACATTTGTTTTTTTAATCATTCTTACCCTCCTCCCTCTCCACCAATTCACATACAAATACAAACAAATATGCTATTTACTTTTTCTCAGTTATTTGAGAGTAGACAGCATACATCCCCCTAATACTTTACTGTGTATTTTCTAAGAACAAGGATATCCTCTTATATAACCACAGCACTGGTAGCAAATTCAGTACATTTAATACTTTAATCTACCGTCCTTGTTCCAGTTTTGTTGATTGTCCCATTAATGTCTTCTGCATTTTTTCCCTTCCAGGACAACATCCAGTCTAGGACCACTTACGTATTTTGCTCTTGTATCTCTTCAGTCTCCTTTAATCTGGAACAAGTTCCTCAGCCGTCATTGTGTTTCGTGATATAGACATTTTTTAAAGAATTCAGACAAATTATTTTCTAAAACAACCCTCAGTTTGGGTTTCCCCGTGTCCTCGCGATTGAATGAGGCTATGCAGTCTTGGCTGCTCTGCTGTGTGTTGTGATAGTGGCAAGGGATGTCCTTTGCCCCTTACTGGTCATTTTAGTTTTGATCACTTGGTTAAGGTATTGGCCAGTTCCTCTGCTGTATAATTACTACTTACTTTGTGACTACTTGGAAATCTGAGAGGTTTGAGAGGATATACTTTTAGACTCTGTAACTATCTGGCTCTTTTCCTAAATCTTCTCTCCCCATCACTCCCCTATTGTTAACTATTAATGATTTCTGTCTGATTCCATTTTTACTATGAAGGTGGCAAAACAGTGTTTTTCTAACTTAACTCCATCATTCCTTCTTGTGTTTGTTAGCTGTCATTCTCTAAGGAAAAGCATTTCTTTCTCTTCTATTTATTTTTTTACTTACCTGTTATTATCAGCATGGATTTGTGGATTCTTATGCCATTCAGTGTATTATGATAAATTGCTGTCCTTATTTCTTTCAAATGGTCATATGTTTGG